TCCCCCGCGCGGCGCCCCGCGCTCGTCCCTTCCCATCCCGCAATTTTGTCGCCTTTACACCCCAGAAATCCCGCTCAGGGACTCTGCCCTTCCCTGGAATGAGCAAAGTCCTAGAAAAGCCCAATATTTCCCTGCCACATCCGCCTCCCCGGGGACGTTTCTGCAGAAGAGCACCCGGCACAGTCACTGGCACATTGCAATGACCACTAGGAACAGACATGACCACAGTGGCCCAGACGAGGAGGCCTAACATGAAGCTGGGGGCTTGGCAGTGTTTACAGGAGTCAAGGTTTGGGCATCAGAGGGCTCAATACTTTTTCTGCCCCTCAAAACCTGTTTCCTTGACCTGCCCTCCCTTCCTTGCAGCCCCATCTCTCCGCTCTCCAGAAATAGCAAAGTTTGGGCATCTTTCTACAGACTCAAAGCAAAGTGCAGAAATTAAAGTCCATTCTTGCTTCAGCCTTAGCCCTGAAAACCTTAACATGCTGCTCTTAAGAACATACCTAGCAGGCCGAGCTAGGGCATTTGGAAGCTGTGTCCCCTCGTGTGACACACACCGTAAACCAGCTCTTCTTGCTCCTGCAAACTTGAAGCACCTGTGTGGAACTCAAAGAAGGGCTCATGCCTGCGTTTCTTGTTCTTAAGGAGCTCTGTATAACTTAAATTATACATAGTAGGATATGTGACTGAACACAGGGAAAGCAAACCCTGAATTCCTAGAGAAAAGCAAAACAGGCATTGCTCATTCAGCCCCAAATTACTTTCTGCACTAGCAAGGTGTCAACGGTTTTCCTAATATCAGGGCTCAGAAGGAAGTTCCCATGGGTTCAGCTTTGCTACAGAGAAATTATAACCTCGCCTTTACTCTCTGCAGAGCTTTTATGCCCAATTTCTACTCTCAGGATGTGCTGACCTGGAAGTTTCACCTACAAGATCCTCAGCAAAGCACTTCCATTTCAGGAGATGACTGTCCCTTACCCAAGGAAGCCTTAGCCGGCCTTTACCGGGAACAATTTTTGGAACACACAAGAAATAGAAGGAAGGGGACTGGGGAAATCTCTTGAGCTGCTGAAACCCCAGTGTAGCCTGAGGCCCCTGTGCGACTCTTGGGACATAATCTCTGTCACATGGGAACCACACACTGCAAGGCACACAGGATGTACAAGTCACCCAAGGGAGCCCATTTCCCTGGGAAATCGATCACTTCCAAGCCTGGAAAACACGCGGAAATGCCAAGCAGCTGGAGGACACCCAGGCAGACAGAGGTCACAGCCCCTGTCTTGGCACGGCCATCGGCTGCCAGCCCTGGACACGGTGCGGCAACATCCTGCCCCTCGTGCTGTCAACTCCAGAAACGTGAGTGCAAAAACCTTGTGTGAGCTCCCAGACATCAAAATGCCCAATTCCACCCCCTATAAAACAAGCCTACAAAAATATATGCTTTAAATAGCTATTTTAAAATATATACTATGCATATATATATAATATGCATATAAATGCATATAGTTACATGCACAATATATGTACATAAGCATAGTATTATAAACTTTCCTAATCTAATATATATTTTAATATACAAAAATATATTAAAGGATAAATCTGCATATATAATATTATGCATATATAGAACTATGTACAAGCACATATTATGCATATATATATGCACACTGCTAGATGGGTATTAAAAATAAAATATCTAGTTAATAGCTATTAAAATAGCTATTAAAATGTTTTATAGGCTTGTATTATGTATATACATACATTTTTATATATGTATATACATATATATTTATATATATGTACACATATATACATATATACATATACAAATATATACATATATTTGTATATACAAATATATACATATATACATATATATTTGTATATACAAA